TGTGTCTGCTCAGTTGTATATCACAGGTACAAAAACGTGATGAAAGCGAAATTTGGTTAAAACGAAAAATGTGGTTTGGACAAGTTTGCCATTGTTGTTTGTTGCACTTTTTGGGCTCATGTGTGCGCTTTAACTGAACAGAAACAAGGGAAAATGGAACCCATTTGTTTTTTACATCAAACGAAATTAGCAAAACAAAACCTTGCCCAGCTCCACTGAAATTTAACGAGACCATGAACATTTCAGAGTAGCAACTGTTGCAGATATCAGTCTTTTCAAGTTACCTACATGCCTCAGATTGCATCAACTTTACTTTTAAAACGATGCATAATATAGAGCAACGTTGAGGTACGACGTCGAGAAATCATGTTAACAGTCCCATTTAGGCTTTTCAGATTCAAAGGATGCGGAGAAGAAGGAAAAGAAATTTCAGTAAGGTTGACATAAGTAACGAATTATAAGGTCACTATGTGTATGTACAATGTAAGCTACCCGCCTGCGTAGGGTGGCAGTGTTTGTGAAAAGTAGTTCTTTAATTTAAATAACTAGAAATACTGCGATTACCACACAAGGTTTGTTTCATCTCAGAGCAGTTTACATTTTCTTCTAAATTTTCTTCTACAGGTAGCCCTCGCATCCCTTGGTACTGATATGCCGAACGGCAAACTTAAGCCAGGGCTCATGATTCCCATTCCAGTTTTTCCTCATTACAAGTCCAGGATTGTAGAATTCAACCTCTACGAGGTAATGCTGACATTGTGTTGAATACTTACAACCGGCATCTCTCTATTGATTCATTTGAATACTCTTCAGTTTATCGTTTCTTATTCTTTGTATCTTAGTGCTTCATTATTGGACAAGAAGAACTTAACAGAAGAAAAAAATTAGAATAGATAAAGGTCTGATACCAATCAGTGATTCATGTAAATTAGAGTTCATAAGAGGAATGACCCAGCTTATGATTGCTGCGCTAATACTGATCTTTCTATTCAGATCCCTTATTATTTGGAAGAAGAAAATAACTGGTCTTTGGACATCGGTGAAATGAAGAAAGCCATAGATGAGGCTAGGCCGCACTGTGAACCAAGAGGACTAGTACTGATTAATCCCGGTAATCCTACAGGTGAGACATACGTTT